CCAATTAAGTAAGAGAAAAAAACTTTTGAAGTGATAATCAAGATAGCTCAGTACAGACAGTTTGATAAGAAGTGTCAGAATACTTACAAGGGGAGATAGATTCTCACACTATGTTTCACTCTATATGCATCCGAAGAAGTGGGCTGTAGCCCATGAAAGCTTATGCTCTAATAAATTTGTTAGTCTCTAAGATGCTACAAGTACTCCTATTCTTTTTGCGGATACAGACTAACACGGCTGCTACTCTGAAACCTGTAATTAATAATGGGGTGCTGCAAGTATATTATAAGAGGCCATCATCTTGGACAGTCATCTTCCAAAAATGTAAGCTGCTGTTTAATCACAATCTCAAATATTTTCCACAATGGATAATTAGACTTTGAAAAAGATGCAATTATACAAGGCACACTGTACAAGTCCCATTGGGCATTGTTAGCTACAAAGCTTTGGAGACACAAAATGAACCAAGTGGGAGAAAGGTTGAAGCGGGACCTTATAAAAAAGTTTGAAGACTGAATATAAATATAAGGCAGCATTTACGCTTTTTAAATTGAAGGGGAAGCTCATTTTCCAAAGGTAGATCAAATGTACCTGCTCATCCCTTCAGGTAACTTCAGGTCTCTTCACTGAGAAAATCCAGTTTCTGCAGAAAGAAGAGAGACAAGAAACTCAGCTGAGGATCCTGAATCCTGGCAGCCAAGACCTGAGAAATAGGAGCTCATCGCTTCAAGCTTGGGCTGTGCTGTGGTTACAGGTGAGCACCATCTTCCTGTCTGTATTTCTATACCACTGCCAAACAGGGGCATGAATGTGCTTTGTGAATATTAGAGGGACGAGGCAGGCAAGGTAATATCTTTTAGTGGACCAGCTTCTGTTGGTGAATGAGAGAAGCTTTTCAGCTACATAGAGCTCTTCTTCCGATGAATATAAGTAGTTTTATCCTCACCTTCCCACAGCAGTGCCAGTCAGTATTCATAGCACCATTTCACAGAGATGGAGCGTGAGATCCATGTCTTGTGACAGGTCCTCAGTTGGGGATCTGCCCCGCTGACACAAATGAAGATACCTTGATTTACACCAGCTGGGGATCTGGGTAAGTGTGTGCCGCAATGGGGTGCGGAGTGGTGCTAGCATCTTACTAGCCCAGATCACACAGGCCAGAGTGGTTCTAGACACTGAGTTCAGAGACAGCATCTTACACAAACACACACGCACACTCACACACACACCACTGAATTTATATA